CAATAGAACTATTAGTGATGGTTTATAAATGCATGAGGCGTTTTAAATTTAGCATGTACTTTAAAAAAGAAATCTATTAGAAGAGTAACTTGATCATGTTTCATTACTGAAAAGCCTGTTCATTTTGAAAAACACTTTTGAAAAAGCAGAATGTACCACCATGACATGAGAGATACTTAAAGTGTCAAAAAAAACCCATAGCTGTGAATCACAAAAGTATGAATTAAAGAACTAATGTTTTCTTGTGCTGAGAGCTTACTGCAAGGGTTGTGACTGCTCACAATTACTATCAGTAGGACCTGGAAAGCTGTCTACTTCGCACAGGCAGACTTGGCATCCTGCAAAACTACCCTGCAGAATCCCACCCTGTGTCCTTAGTTCACGTTCTCCTTCAGTCAAATGGGACCTTGGGACAGAGATTTGGGCTTGAAGATGTTGAAGGCTGTCAGCATATAAAACATTGTTAACAGAGATTCACAGCACTGAGCTGTTTTTCTATGAACTTTTGGTCCCCCTAATAGATGAGGCCTATAGACCCTGGCAGCCTTTCTTATGAGCAAGGATTAAAACTGGTAGCATCTCAGGGTCTACAGTTTTGGACCTACTTTGTTACGCAGTGTCAGGATATAGGACAATTTCCTTTCTAATGTACCAACATTACAGTCAGTGGTGGTACAGCACAGATGAGATTTGCTGTTTGAGTTTATTGGCTAACTGTGATGGGAAAAACATGGTGAGTGGAACTATGTAAACACAGTAAGACAGTTAGATATACAATTTAGACCCAGGGTTTGTTGTTTAGAATTCAGAGCAGCCTCTGCCCTTTAACACCATTACCAGGGAGAATATACCATCTAATTCACCATGAATGCAGATACCCAGATTTTTTTATTCTAACATGGAAAACCTGGTGATGTCCAAGAACATGTTATGACTAGTGTTGTCCCTCTGCTTCCTCTTCATCAGTCCTGTAGGAACCATTTTCTCCCTTGAGAAACGGATCTTCTCTGCAATGCTACTGTGAATCATCCTGTTCAACCTACCAAGACCCAAATGGAATAAGATTTTCAAAATTATGAACAACAGAGAGAAAAAAATAAAGTGAGAATAATCATGGAGGATTCACCTTCATATAGTAATACATATCAAGTAATGTATTTTCCCTGACTTACGTTATACCTGAGTCTCATTGCTTTGCATTAGTGAGGTAATTAATTTAGCAGGAGAGATGAAAGGAGCCCAAGAGATGACAGCAGGCATGTGTGAGAAAGAAGGCAAGTGTAGGTCTGCAATGGTGGGCAGTGGAAAAGTGTTTTCAACATGCATTTTGTAACTCTTATAACAGTGTAGAGGAATGCATATATAGGAGAAGGAGATGTGGTGCCTTTTCTAATCCTTCATCCATGATTGTGTCCTGATTGCCCTCCCTGTTATTAGAAGACAAAGTCCTGCAGTCCAAGGCAACATGTTTAATTTTCTTGTGTAGCTTAGATCACTTACAGTGAGGGGTTAAACTAAGAAAAACCTAAATTAATATGTATCCTGCTTGGGTAGGAAAATATATATATATTTCATATGTATATATACACATACAAATATATATGTACTTCTTTTTAGACCTAAGGCTACTTAGGGGAAATGCTTTATCCAAGGGCTGTTCTGGGAGCTGGGAGTGCTGTACTAAACCTTTGGGGCAAACGTTTGCATTGAATTGTTGAAAGAATCTGAGATTGGCAACGCCACCCTACCCTTGGCTAATGAGCCTTCCCCGAGAGAATATCAAGTGCAATTACCTTTCAGGGAATAACAACATACCAAAGAACCATGGACCCGGCAGAGAAAAACGAAACACACATTCGTAGGTAGAAACCGCTATGAATCAGCATTAATTATCCAATAGAGGGAACAGGGTTGCAATAAGTCTCTGTTCCTGACTCACACCATAGATCACACCAAATGTGAGCTACTTGTAGAAAAAACATTTGCAAAGTTCAGCTTGCCCTAACCCCTTCCCCTCCCGTGTACACTGCTGCACTCGAGTGGTGCGGGGGGGGGGGGGGGGGGGCAAGTTTCCCGACCCTCAGTTTGGAGGCGGCTGGGAGAGGTGACAAAGGGGCTGGGGCTGGTGGGCGTGAGGGACTCGTGGACCTCAATCAGCGTGACAGTTACTCTAACGCCAAGACTCATTCAAGGTCTCCCCGTGTGCCGATGCGGCATCGGACACAGCTCTTCCCCACAAGCCTTTAGGGAGGCGGTTTCCGCCTTCAGAGCAGGGGGATCTTCGTTCCCCCACGTCCGCTTGCCCCGGCAAATGCAGAAAGGGGGAACAGTTCCTGGCGCTCGGGCTCTTGCTGTGCACATTCCCAGGATGGAGACCAGGAGGGACGGGAAGTGGGGGAAGTGGGAAAACCTCATATTTTGCGCCCAGCGATTGGAAAGTGCATGTCCAGCTCTGGAGAGATGCTAAGGGCTGCCGGCCGGCGCCGCGCCTCCTCAAGCCTGCGCCTTCGTGCTGAGGCGCATCCTCCCGTGGGGGCAGTGCCTATGCACGGAGCCTCCACGGCGGCGGAGCGGGGCGGGAGGCGCAGTCCCCAGGAGATCCCGGTCGCTGCTGCCCTGCGAGGCCCGGGGAGGCTCCCCGGGGAGCCGGGAAAGCCCGCCTCAAACTCTTCGGACGTGAAAACGGCGCGGAGAAGAGCTTGCTGCTTTGCTGAAACGAGGCACACAGATATTGAGTTTGTCAGGGATCATAAAACGTGAATTGATTATTCAAACAACCATTGATTATAAAAGAATGCTTACTGCAGCGATGGGAAAGGTTAAAAGGAAATTGACCCTCTGCGTACGTGACATAAAGTCATTAGGTAAATGAGATATTCCTGCAGGGTGTAATCAAGGTCACGTTAATTTTATTTGCGGTATTCAGCTCAAATCTAGAGCTTCGTTTGGGGCGGCAAATTGTTCCCGAGGGAGCCGAACCACCAGGTAGACCCCAGGTGCCGCAAGAAAAGGTAAATACATGCCAAGGAGCCCAGCGTATTCCTCCCGAAGCCCCGTACCTGCGGCGGGCCCGAGCCCCAGCCCGTCTGCGGCGGCAGGAACTCTTGCCTTACCGGTGCCCGCAGAGAGGCGCAAAGAGGCGCGGAGCGACGTGCAGGATCGGGCCTCCCCGGAGAGGTGTTCTCACCTCTCTGAGACCGGGTCGCCTCCTCTGAGCCGGAGGAGAGCCAGAAGTGCCGGCGATGTCAAGGACCCTCGCCTCTCCCGGGTAGGATGAGAACGTGTAAAAAAAATAGATTTATTTATGCACATATTTATCCCCTCTAATTATAGAAATTAATCCTCTTACTTATGACTAAAAGGTAACGTCTAAGGCGTCCCTTTGATGTTTAACAGCATCATTTGTGGCTAACATTCCAACTGATTAAGGAGTAATTGTTGTTAAATGCTTTACAAGTGGATAGTGTTTAATTGAGAGGCATTCATAATTTTACGGCTTACCACAAAATGAAACGTAATTAAAAACGCAGGAATTTCCAACTGATTTTATTCCAATTATGTTTATTGTTCAGACTAATTACTGCACGAGATGGGGTACTTTCCCCATCTCTCAGTGGCACACATCTCCCAGATACACCCTTGCTGGTTTTTCTTTTCCAGGTACAGGCTGGGAACCGCTTTCTGCAGCCTCCTCTATCCCTCAACCTTCTCCCTCCCCCCCCCCCCCCCAATTAAATGCTCCAGCCTTTTCTTCTCTCCTCCATGCAACACCTTGGGATGTGAGAAAGTGATGGCAGCTCTCTTCCCTCAGAGCTCGAAGTAATTGTAGAAGGGCTGATGAATTTCTTGAAGAAACACTTGCCACACACTGAGGAAACCATCTCCTAGCAGGATTTTACAAACCAAAGTAAACAAAGCACCCCAGGGGCGATTTCCTCCTTTTGCGCAGCTTACTTCTCAATTTAACTCAGAAGGGTTCACAAATACACACACGAATTACAACAGAAATCATACCTGGTCTGGGGAAGATATTAGGCATGGAAAGAACCAAAGAAATTCGAAGGGTTTAAAGGAAGGGACGGTCATGAAAATACCTGCCGGGCGCGCTGTCATTCCCCAAACAGACCTCTCCTTTCCTGTGAACTCAGAAATCTCTTCAACATCTCTTTAAACACACATATCCCTTGGGGAAAGGAAAAAAAAAAAGAAGGAAGGAAGGAAGAAGACAGCCCCCCCCCCACACACACACACCTCAGGTCCGTCTTACCAACGCCTTTAAAATACCCTCATCCTCCCGACAGGGGTGGGGAGTAAAGTTACTTTTCCAATTTCACTGTTTGCTCGATGGGAGAGTGTTTAGAGTGTAAATGGATTTATTTATTCCTCAGTTTTTCTATCCTTCAAATGAGGTCTTGGAGAAAATTAGAGAGGTGCCTAAGCCCAGCTAATAACAAATCAGCGCTTATAGTTAAAGCGAATAATCAGACCCTGATAAAACGGGAGCCGGGGGGGGGTCACATCAAATGATCAATACTGCGTCCAATTTGCTTTTTCCTTTGGGCTTCAACCCGTTAAAAAAGGATCACACACACGTTTACTGCTGCTTTTGTCTCCTTTCTAGAGGGACGAAGCTCCACGTGTGTGCTGCGGCTCTCTGGGAGGGTTCTGCACTCACAGGTGTGCTGGGGTTCTGCTGTCTCCCCGCACGGGTCCTCAATCCTCCCGAAGGGTTTCATCTAGGTGTGAGGGTATGAAAGTGTTTAAATCCTACTGAGGAAATAAAGGGGGGAGGGACGGGGGAGGGAGGGAATTCCCTCTTATGGCAGGTTAGAACTAGCCCAAGCTTTCCAAAGGGAGGTTTAAGTTGGACTTAATGGAGCAATATCTCCCTTTTTCTTTTCTTTTCTTTCTTCTATTTTTTTTTTTTTTTTCTTCAGGCATGAGTCCTGAATCCTTTCATTAAACTGACATAGATTTTCAGAGATGGAGAAAAGGAGGGGTATCTGGGGTGGACATTTTATGTAAATGAGCAAATCCGAAATGTATTACAAATCCACTGTAATAAAACTGACAGTTTTGACAGTATTGACAACATAAATATATGTTGGAACACAGCACTTTCAGACACTTAACCGATGAAGCAATAAAAAGATTTGACTACAATATTTCAAATAATCGACATTGATGTTTTGATACATCATTTTTATACCTCGAATCGATCTATCACTCTGTGACCGGTCAATTTTAAGTAAAAATCTGCTGCAATTATTTATGCTATTGCCAATGACGACCTAATAACTGTTTTCAATTAATTACAGCGAAACTAAGCATTATGAGGACTAACCGGCCGCATATTCTATTGTGCGATCCTTTGCATTTCTTGTACGGAGAGCAAACACATATATGGATATGGCATTCTCTTTGTGGGATCAAAAGAAAGACGTACAAAGGCGATCACAATCTTGGGGGGGGGAACAAAAAAAAAAACCACCACCCAAACATAAAAAAAAACCTTTCTTTCGGAAACACACCGCCAGCTCCCATCACGTCTCACGTCCTTCTAGGAGACAAGCTGTAATATTTTGTCAGCTCTTTCTCCGTGCAATACCAAACGGGGCTCCTTAGATTTTATTTTTTTTTCTTCCCTTTGGGCTGCGTGCTAAATCCCACTTCAAACAATGGGCCGAGCAGCTCTTTGGGGAAAAAATCGGGGGAAAAAAAAACAAAAAAGAGGGAGACTCGTACTTGGAGTGCTCGCCCGTGTGTTGTGAGGGTCTCCGTATCATTTCAAAAGGAGGTAGGAGGATATTGTTCTCTCCGGACCAAGAATTCCAGCGTAAAAAGGAGAGCTCTCCTCTTCTGGAGTTTTATAGGCAGCTGGAGAACAAAAGGGAATATTTTGAGTGTGCAAGAACAGAGCTCTGAGAGGAGTTTGGAGCCTTCGCGGATGGTCTGATACCACACTAAAGCGATTTAGTTTGCTCTAACTGTCCTTTTTGTTAGGATGTCACATTGGAAAGATGGATTTTGTTAATGCTTTGGGCTTCTTCCAGCAAATGCAAACTAGGTTTTTAGCTGCCCCAGTGGAAGCAGCCACATAGCGTTAGGGGGGAGCCCTGGCAGGTATTTTACTCTCCCTCGTTTATTATGGAAACAGGCGCGTTGGCTGTTTATGGGCTTCACTTCCACAAACCTCCAAGCCTAAGACATAATAAAAAAAAAGCCGCGTTCTGGTCTGATATCAGCTCTTCACACGCACCAGCGTGAGATAACTCGGCCCAAGGCGAAGGGGTCCCTCTGTTCCCTTTCTCGCCGCGGCCCCGCAGCCCGCGCGCTCGATGGGATGCGGGGAGGGGGCAGCGCCCGGAGCCCCGCGGGAGGCTGAGAAGCAAAGCGTTCCTCAGTGCTCCGCACTGATCGGCACCGCTCCGCACCCCCTCTGCCGCGCGGGGGCCGGGGCCTTGCGCGGCAGCGGGATGGTGCTGGAGCCCCGCCAGGTAGCGCTAGAGGGCTGCCGGTGGCACCGCCGCATCCCGCCGGGAACCCGGCAGCAGCGGTCTGAGCTCCGCACCCAGAGGGGACACGGCGGGGCAGGGGCAGGTGGACCGCGCATCGCTCCTGCTTCGTGGGGGAGTTGAGGACAGTTCTTTTTTTTCTTTAAAAGAAGAGGGAGGGGTGGAAGAAAGACAGTTAAAAAGGAAGTTAGCAGTTAATCCATGAATCTCCTCCTAATCCAGCTCCCGAAGACCTCAGTCACACCGCAGTCGAGGTCAAGAAAAGTTCACCGTGATGGGCTACCACGGACTTTACGGACTGAATTGAAAGATTTTAGAAAAATTATAGATGAATGAAAAGCGACGTACACTATCGGGGCGGGGGGGGGGGGCGGTTGTTTAGCGGACCGAGGCGGATGCAGACCTAACCCAGCGACCTGCACAACCGAGACTGCGGGATTGCCCTGGGGCACCCGAGATGGCACCTCAGAAGTCCTGAAGTCGAGAACTCAACTTGGTTAAAACGCATAAAAAGTGACTCAAGTTGTAAGAACCAAGCGTAAAGGCAGAGGAAAGTGGGGTAAAGAACGAATTTGGGGGTAGGACTTTGAACCCTGGCATAATCCTAATTGCAGAAAGGCAAAGGTACTGTTTACACCCCACACTTCGCCCTGCGAGCAAAACAAGAAGGAAAATCCCCGTGGATTTTACTGCGGGGTCACGGTGATGTAATCCCGCAGCCACATTTTAAAAGGCAAATTACTTTCTTCAGTAAATGACACGTTTCCTAGAACGATAGTTCACGATGAAACGCCGGTTCAAATATGTACAATTTGTCGTCCCGTTCGGCGATATCCTTAGCCCGTCCACGGGGAGCTTGGCCAGCAAACGTAGCCCCTGTGTTTGCGAACACAATGCATTCCCCCCGAAATGCTTGAACTCAGCGCACAAACAAACAAACATTGAATAAAGTTACAAACAAGATTAAGGTTCAAGTTATTTGTCCATGTAGCAAGGCGTCAATTGTTCTAACAGATGTAGGGGCGCTAAGAGGATTTAAACCACGCGAATTTAATAAACCAGATTAGCAATAGGTGCTTTCCACAAATGCTAGGAACCGTAAAGTAAATCTAGCCTAAATCGCCCGAAAGACCGGAGCATCACTACAAGGAGTGCAGAAAATTTTCGAAGGGGGCCAACAGGATTTCCTGCGAGCATGGCTTGTTCCTCACTCCCCACTCTACCCACACGCCCCCGGAAAAAAAAAAAAAAACAAACAAACCACACGAAATTTTCTGTTTGCACTAAATTTGCAGTAGGTGCAGACGCGCGTACCAAACGGCGGTCCAAGGTCCCCGGCGGCATATATTCCTGAAATCTGAAATATTACCTGTTGTGCCATCCGCTTTTGCAAGGACGTGGAAAAAGAGAGGGAGGGAGAGAGGGAGTCACGTCTCAAAGCCAGCAAAGGACTAAGATGCCACACTTCGGAAAGGCTGATTGAAAACAGACTCTTCTTAAGTTTTAGAGGATTTTCTCTCTCCCTCCCTCCAAGGGCTAAGAAGCCGATTTAGGAGTTTGAAGGGAATAGGTTTCAGCATCCATATTTGTTCTGGTGCACTTGTAAAATGCGATTTGAAGAGGATCTTTAGCCCTCTGATTGTCTTTGTATTGTTTTTCTTGAAACGGATCTTTTGCCCTTAATGAATCCCCACACAGCTGGACAGCTCCTGCTCGGACACTGAGAGCGCTAACCCCAAACTGACCCCAATTTGACACCACAAGATGAAATTTTACCGCCTGTTAAAACCATTTCCAGCCTCGGCAAAAGGAGCTGGCTGTTGACTGAGATGCACTTCCATACCGGACACCTCATTTCTCTTTGGACTTTAGCTGATCTTAAAAAAAAACAACAAAACGGGGGGCGGGAGGGGAAAGGCAAAAAAAAAGCCCAAGCACACACACAAGAGACCCCACCGACTCGTCTATAGCACTCTTCCTGGAAACAGCCTTCACTGTGAAATTGATGCACGAGGAATGGAAAATAGCCGATTTAATTTTCTCGATTTACTGTTTTAAAAGAAGTTTATCACCCGGCTGGAGGAAAAGGGAAAAAAAGTAAATAAAAAATGACCTAAGACTGTGGTAGCCCGCACCCCCTGCACGCACGTATCCCATTTTCCTCCGAGTTCCCAACAAGCATCTTTGTTAATAGCTGAGCACTTTCACTTAAGGGCGCTAAATTGAGATTCCTTTTTAATGGCTAAACTGTAGCTCTTTATAAACCATGTTCTCTGTGTGCTTTAATCCACTGGGATAGTGAAGAAGAAAAAAGCTCCAACTCTTTTCACGAGGGAAAAAAAAAAAAAAAAAAAAAGGGGACACAGGAGGAACATGAAAGCCCTTTATTTACCGTATGAAATTACACTTTTCTACAAGTTAAAATAATTTTTTAAAGTTGGTCTCTGTCCCAGATTACACACATGCACAGCAGGGCTAGCCAGCGCAGGGGGTTAATTAGTTTTAGGAGGAAAAAGAAAGAAATATAAAAAAAAACAAAACAAAACAAAAAAAAAAAGAAACAAGTGAAAGGAGCAGCATTGAACACTGCAAAAATCTTTGGCTGCTTCTTTTGCAGCTTTGATTTTAGATTGCTTTCTAACAATTTCTCAGTCAAGAGAACCGAGATCCACAGAGACTTTGACGAGAATCATGAAATAAACAAAAATCAGGTCTAAGATTATATCCTAAGCAAGAAAGCTTTTTTTTTTTTTTTTTCCTATGGGAGTCAAGTAATCTAAAAACTTCTTTTTGAAAGGAAAACTGATGAACTTCTCCCACAGCTTGAGGTCTGAACAAATACATGGAGCCTTCAGTGGAGCCAGATTACTTTTGCACGGCCACGTTACAAGTAAAGAAGTAAAGACCTATTCTTTGGTGATACTAAAACTATTTGAAAAGAGACACACTTGCATATCTCAAGAGGCAAGGCTCCAGGTTTGCACTGCCTCGGTTAAAAAAAACAAGTTTGGAAGCTACAAATATTTAAGCTATGTCCTCTAAGCTGGCTGTATGGGCTGTATAACAACCAAGTGATTCCACACAAGTTTAGAAACCCGGCATCTTTGGGGCGGGGTGGGGAGAAGGAAAAAAAAAAAAACAAATAGCATTCACCGATGGATGACTAGATCTCTTAAAAAAAATCTGTTAGAAAACTACAGCTGTAAAAGTAGGAATGGATTTGCATAGCCTACTGCTCTGTAGGTCTCCGTGCACCCAAAGGATTAGCCAAGCATTCATTACCATGAATATCTTGAATTACGTTACCGATTTATACGACAGAGTATAAAATACTGCACAAGAAGACTGGCTTTTTCTCTGCAAAATGAATCGACTTAACCACTGCTTGAAAGAGATCTACATACTAAGGGCTTTTTTACTCACCTCTCTTTACAGTCCCATGAAAGTCAGTCACAGCAATTCGGTTGCTCTTAGGACTAGCTTTAATCTTGGAGGAGATCCTCTGGAAAAAAAAGATATTAAAAAAAAAAAAAAAAGGAAAAAAAAAAAACAAACCCGGGTCTGCTCCCCAGCTCCTGGCTGGTTTTAAGCAGGGTGCAATTCTGGCTAAAAGTAGGACTTTTCTTGGTATTGCCCCCATATTTGTAAATACAGCCCTGCTCTGCTCTGCAGGGCTCGGCGCTATCAGAACACGCAGGAATGCCCACTGGCGTTTGTCAGCGCTTCACACTATCTTTCTTTATACGTGAGGGCTGATTTCCCGCAGACATCATTGTTATGATGGCTCATTTAATCAAACTGTTTAATTGCTCCGGTAATCACTATCATCATCACAGGTACTCAATCATTCATCATTTTGGAGGGGTTTATTGACCTCTGGAGCTCATTCCCTACGCCTATTAAAATCAGGCCAAATATCTGTAACTACCCCTTGAGTAATTTTCTTAAAGTTTCAGGAAAAAAAAAAAAATCTTATAATCATCGTCATCACCACGAAAATCAAAGCAAAATAAACCAAAACCTAACCGAATAAATAATATTTTTCTTCCGTGTATTTTAAAAGCCAGCTATGTATAAGGCCACATTCATAACCGGGTACATAATCATTGATAAATCCCACTATTAACGGGATAGTCTGGTTTAGATTTTATGTGCAGGGGACCGTGAACGAGGGTGGGGGGCTGGGGAGGACAAAACTGCAGCAATCGATAGTTTGACCATCGCTCCTCCCCTAAACTTCAAGCATCCCCCATGATTGATGATCCTGGCCAGCTTTAGTAATTGACTGCTCTGAGGTAAGGCTGGGGTAGCTCCGGCAAAACGATTGGGGGAGAGAAACACACCAAAATTAACGTGTCTCTCTGTGTAAGTGTGTGCTTGGAAAAGTTCATTTGGTGCTCAAGGGTGAGGGGTGCATCAGCTCACTTAATTTGCTAAATAACCCCACCGTAATTAGCACTACCATTAGAAGGCATTACCGAGCTAATACTTCAGCAGACATTCCACAAGCGCAACGTCGATCTACGGCAAAGTCCAGCTACATGCACACGTAAACGCAGCGCTCACAGCCTGGTCCGCTCAAAATGAACATGCAAACAAAAAAATCTACATAACATCTGGATCTCTCCCACAAAAGGCTGAGCATGACTTTGTTTTTAAGCCCTTTTCAAAGCCTGGCAACCTAATCTCAAAACTAAAAGGGATTTCCCCTTCCCCCCCCCCCCCCCCCTTCTCTCCCCCTACATCCACAGCGTGCTTGATCGCAGCGATCACTTAAGGAAGAGCGGCGCCAAACACGGTTTGAATGAGCCGTTCTCTCCATGCCCTGGAAAATTAATTTTTAGAGAAGCACAATGAATGGTGAGCGGGCAGGACCCCCTCTGGCAGCGCGGGCGCTGCCGGAGCTGCGGGCACCCTGCCGGGGCGGGCTTGCCTCCCGGGGACGCCCCCCCCCGCGCCCCGTAGCCCCCCGTGCCCCCGGCCTCGCGTTCCCTCCGCGGCAACGGCGACAGCCGGCGATTTACACCGATAATTCAGCGCGCAAATCAGACCGCTAAACATCGCGGGCAATCGGAAAGTATTTGGTTACTAAAATAATCTAGCGCAAACCAACCCGGGGCTGGCCTTCTATCGCACTTTTCTTCTCGCTCTCTGCAGTTTTCCCCTGCCTCTCCCCCCCTCTCGCACACACGCACTCTCCCTGTCCTTCCTCCCCTCCCTCCCTCGCTCCCTCCCTCCCCGCTCCCTCCCTCCCTCCCCGCTCCTTCCCTCCCTCTCTCTTGCTCGCACGCTCGCTCGCTCCTTCCTACACGCGTTGCTTCTCTCGGGGCAGGGGCTGCTGCGCGGCTCCCCCCGCGCGGCGCCGCGGCCGCCCCGCCGGCGCGCTGCGCATCCCCGGCGCTCAGCTGGCTGGGGCGCCCCCGCCGCCCCGCGCCCGCCGCCCCGCGCCCGCCGCTCCCCGCCACCGCCGCCGCCGCCGCCGCTCCCCGCCGCCGCTCCCCGCCGCCGCCGCCGCCGCGCTGCAGGACTGGCTATGGCCACCACTACTTCCGGGTTCCGTCACTTCATTCTCCCGCCGATCAGCGCTGCAAAACTGAGCCTCTTCTATAAGGCAGCCAGCAGCCAACCTGCCAACACTTACTGACACTCACTCATCAGAGCGCGAGGGAGAGAGGGAGACAAAATACCTGCCGGGAGGAGGAGGAGGAAAGGAGGAAAAAAAAAAAAAAAAGGATAGAGGGGGAAGTCCGCGCTTTGCAAACTATTCCATTTTTCTTCGCATCTTTGCCCACCCCCCTTCACAGTACTTCAAAAAAAAAAAAAAAAAAAAAAAGAAAGAAAAAAAACAAAAAACCAAACCAACCAACCAAGCCTATAGCGATTCTAAAAGGCAAAACCCGAGCGCGGAGTTACTGGAAGAAGAAACCGGGGTTAAAAAGATTCCTCCTCTCTTCTTCATCATCAACCATCATTCATTCACTACCTTGACATTCCCTGGCTTTGATTGACAGCTGGAGTGGCAAAAAGCCATGAGACACGACAGTTTGGTTACATGTGGGTTGCTGACGGGCCGATCGTAACCTTCAGTTTGGGGGCTTGACAATTTTTTATTATTTTTTTTTTCGCGTAGAGAAAGAAAAAAGGAAAAAGAGAGAAAAAGGAAAGAGAGAAAGGGAGAGAAAAAAGAAGAAAACACAGAAACTCATCGTGGTTCTTGACTGTTTTATCTATTCTTGTTGTTATTGTTGTTATTATTATTATTTACCCATATTGGAGGACAGGAGAAGTCTGTAAGTGGGTTGCGGGAAAAAAAAAAAAAAAAAAAAAAAAAAAGGAATCTTCTTCACTCTAAATCACTTTCTTTGCTGGACTGGGATATTAAATATACGACACATCCAGGAGTTTATTGGAGCGCAGACTGATGGCGCAAAGGGTAGGTTTAAATCTCCAACACTTACCTATATATAAATCCTCTCTTAAGAGGGGCCTGTCCGATTTGCTCTCCTCTGTTGCTGCTGCTGATGGCGGCCACTATTAAAAAATAGCAGCAAAAAATATTCACTAGCTTTTTGTGTGCGTGCGTGAGTGTCTCTCTGTGTGTGTCTCTCTCTGCAATTGTTCCACGCTTTTTTTCTCTCTTAGCTTTTCCCCCAGCAGCGCGATTTCCCTGCTCCCTGCCTGCTCAGTAGCACGGGTTTCACAGGGGAAAGCTTGCTGCTGGTGCTGCTGCCGCCGCCGCTACCTCCGCTGCCTAGGAACGGCTGAGAAATACATATGTGTGTGTGTGTATATACGAACGTATATATATGTATACACATATAGCTGCTTTCTTCTTTTTTTTTTTTTTTTTTTTCTCTCTGTCTCTGGCTTTGACAAGGACAAGGGGAATTGCTACTAAATAATGTTTCTGGTAACTTTCAGATTATTTCCCCCTTCATCTCCCCCTTCCCCATGCACCCTACCTTTCCTCTCTCCTTCCCAGTGTTGATTTATTTATATAGTTGTTTTTGATTCTGCTTGTTTATTCATTTCTACTTTTTTGTTGTTGTTGTTGTTCTTCCTTTCTAACGCAGAGTAACTCTAGTTTTTCCCCTGCGTTTCCTTCCTTTCCATCCCCGTTTCCTTGCGAGGGCTCCCCTGCCCATGGCGAAGAGGAGCGGCTCCCCCCGCACGCCCGGGCGGGTGCTCACACACACACACATTCCCCCTTCACCTCTCCCCGCAGCCCCACTCCTCCCTCAGCCTCTCCAACCTCTGCTCCCGGTCCCAGTTGATTTCATTTTGCACATTTCTCTCTCTGTTGTGGCTGTTCTCGTTTTGTTTTGCTCTGTTTGTGTCTGTCCGGGTGCTTTACTCTCCTCTGACTTTTGTTATTGTTGTTTGTTTGTTTTTTTATTCCTCTCTCTCTCTCTCCTTCTCCCTCTCTTTTCCCTTCTTTCTCTTTCTTTCTTCTCTTCCTGCCCGTTTTTTGACAGTACGATGAGCTGCCCCACTACGGCGGGATGGACGGAGTAGGGGTGCCGGCTTCCATGTACGGGGACCCCCACGCCCCCCGGCCGATACCCCCGGTGCACCACCTCAACCATGGCCCGCCGCTGCATGCCGGGCAGCACTACGGCGCGCACGCCCCGCACCCCAATGTCATGCCGGCCAGCATGGGCTCTGCTGTCAACGACGCCCTGAAGCGGGACAAGGATGCGATCTACGGGTAGGTGCCTCCGGGCCGCCCGGCGCCACTGCCCGGCTCTGCAGCGCCGGTGGCCGCGGAGCGGCGGGGCAGAAGCAGGGCGGGCGGTGGGGGCTCCCGCGGGGCCGCGGCGGGCAACCGAGCCCCGGAGCGGGGCGGGGGGGAGGGACGGTCCTGCGGGTAGCCCCCAGCAGTCCGCTCCGCAGGGAGACCCGCGCGGTGGCGGTGGCACTGCCACTGCCGGCAATTTCAGGAGGAGTGCGATCCCAGCCTGGCTTTTAGCTGGGGTGCCAGCACCCGCGCGAATAGGTCCTGGAAAAGCAGACCTCTCGGGGAGGGAGGCTGGACTGAGGGGAGGTGTCGTTGTCTTGCTTTGTCTTTCTTTTTTTTTTCCCCACTTTTTTCTCCCCCCCCCCTTTTTTTTTTTTCCTCTCTTGCTTTCTTTTCCCCCTTGTGTTTTTTGTCTTTCTCGGAAAGGCCCCAGTTAAGAGTTCAGATAGGAGAGGCGGCTCTCATTGCTCTGGGTTTTAGTTGGAGAAGTGTTGTTCTGATGTTCTCCTCCGTGCCATAATAACACTCTTCCAACACTGTAAATAAAGAGCTATTCACATCGCAGAAGGTAGTAAGAATAAAAGGGGTTCGCTTCTTGCAAGCAGCATTTCCCTGAGACAGGAGAAATAAACACATTGGGGGCAATGAGCTGAGCTTTCTATTTAAGAAAGAAAGAACGCGAGGAAAAAGAAGCACGTACCCGGCAGAACTCAAGCCTGTGCCAGGCATTGCTTGGAGGCAATGACACCGACTCCCTTCAGTGCCTTTTAGAAAAAAAAACTAAATGAGCTTAAAGGGAGAGATAGTAACATCTATGACGGAGCGTGGGGCCTTGATCAGGCACCAAAGGGGAAAAGAGACAAAATGCATGCTTACTACTTAGCAGGCAGATACTTTTTTTTTTTCTGACTACACCAACTATGGGAAAATATTTCGCGAAGTGCTCCCTCCCTCCGCCCCCTCCCCAGCTCACTTATCTGGACAGCTGGTATTTTACTTGGGTGTGCTTCCTAAGCCAGGAAACTTCACCACATTTTTGTTAGCAGGCCCCTTGAAAAATAAAATTACGTATTAAGTAGTTTGCAGTTTGACTAGCCGTGCTTCTCATTTTAGGTCATAGCTGGAGGGGAGGGATGGGATCTTCCAGGTTTCGTGTTATTTTAAGCTGTGGCAAAAAGTGGAAGATTCCCAGTTGAGCTGTTGCCTGCGGGAGCGGGTTTGGTGCCTGGTGCGTTAGGAGGGGAGGTCACTTTTGTCCTCAGCCGTGGGGACCGCACGGGGGATGTAGCTCGGGCACTGCAGTTTCAAAAGGGGAAAAGAAAATAAAACCAAACGCAAACCTCCACCGCCAGCAAACATAGCATTTTTATTTCGAACTGTTGTTCTCCCCTGCCCTGCCCGGCCCGAAGCGATACAGAGAGGCTGCAGAGTAGCTGCGTCCGTGTGTCCGTCGTGTCTGTATGTCCGTGCATTTTAAAAGCAAACAGAAAAAAAAAAATACTTGTTGATTAGAGCTCTTCTTCCCCCCTCTCCCCCACCCCCTTCCCTCTCTTTGTGTGCCACTGCCCGGTAGGCACCCGTTGTTCCCCCTCTTAGCTCTGGTCTTTGAGAAGTGCGAGCTGGCGACCTGCACGCCCCGGGAGCCCGGCGTGGCCGGCGGGGACGTCTGCTCCTCCGACTCCTTCAACGAGGACATCGCCGTCTTCGCCAAGCAGGTCCGGCACCGCTCCCCCCGCCCGGCCCTTCCCAGCACCCTCGCACCTTCTCAGGCCCTCGACCCGCACGGCCGGCCACTTGCACGGTGCAGCCCCCCTGCTTTCATCCCTCCCCAGACCCCTGTGCCCTATCTCCGGCCGCCGGGGTGGGGGCAGAGGGAGATGCCGGCCCGGACGCTCCTTCGCCGGGAGCCCCTCCACAATGCCGGGCTGAGAGTCCCGGTCCTTGCTCTCCCGCGTTAAAGAAGGGGAAATGGAACTGTTTTGGAGGCAGAGGGAGCGGGGGAAAGGCAGGAGATCAAGAAGAAGGGGCTCCTGTGGCAAGGGCAGGCAGAAGCGGAGCTGGCCCTGCTCACACACGGGTGACTCCGGGGAATCCAGCCGAGGTTTGGTCTGATCTGTCCCGGCTGGTTTGATCACAGGGGTTTTTCTCCCCCTTCGAGTGATTCGGTGAGAGGGCTGAGGAGAGAAGCTGCAATTCACTCCGCTTTTCCTTATACTTGCAGGTCCGCGCCGAAAAACCACTTTTTTCTTCAAATCCAGAGTTGGACAATTTGGTAAGGCCTGCTCGCCTCCCTGCCCTGCCCTGCCCTGCCCTGCCCTGCGTTGCCCTGCCCCGCTCCCCTCCCGCCCGCTGCCTGGAAGCGCCCTCCGCCGTCCGGGCACCCAGGCTGTGTAGCCGAGGGGGGGATGGGGGGCGGGGGGGGGGGTGGTGGTGGAAGGCTGCCGTCGAGAGTCTTCAAAGAGCTGCACTTTTAAAGTGAGCCGGGGCGAGCTCCCGAGCCCCAGTGCATTGCAAAGCTGTGTTTGAAAGCCACGGGAAGCTAAACTGAAGGAAATAACTGCTTAAGAAGACAGAGCTGGAGCTTTCTAACACAATTCTTTTGCTAATGTAAACGATTTCAATATTCAAAGTGTCTAAATCCGCTTGTAAAGAAGATGCCAAACTATTCATCCTTCTCCCTCCCTTTTTCCTGCGGGCCGGGGAGGGGGGGTGGGAGAGTGTGTTTGACTTCTTGGCGGCCCCTCAGGGGTGAGGGCCGGGCGGTGAGAGGGAGCGAGGAAAAGGGGAAGAGGTTTTCTCCAGGATCGCTGTAATAAAGCACTAATCACCGCTCCTGGAAAAAATATGTTAAAAATCAAGTGCATACGTTAAAGTTGATCAAAACTGCTCAAGCGCGACCAATGCGCTAAACTCCTGGGTGATGCCTGTGCGCCCTGACACCCCCTGTCCCCCTCGAGCTTGTAGCTCCTCACAGACCCCGTGCTCCTGTCTCCCAACTAACCCCTTGCTCAAAACTTTCTTGCAGATGATCCAAGCAATACAAGTACTAAGGTTTCACCTCTTGGAATTAGAAAAGGTAAGAGCCATGGAGGTGGGCTGGGGGCAAGCCGTTCTCTCCCTGTCATCCCTCTCTTTGCCCCCCCCAGCCCACCCGTGACTGTTTGGGCTGACTTGTAAACATGGCCAGGGGAGACGGGAAACGCGGTGTGACCTGTGCCATCAGAGCATGTGACACCCGACAGTCATGCACAGCCTGGCTTTTTTTTTTTTTTTTCAGTGCGATTTTAATATATAATATTATTAAACCCTTTCCACCCGTCCTACCCCTTCCCTCAGTAGAATCTCTTTTACCTACTCGGAAACAACGTGTTTAACAAAAAGAGAGGTGAAAGCACTGCTGCCTTTCCCCAGCTCCGGCCGGCATAGGAACCCCAAGCAGGCGCTAAGTGTTTGGTAGAGGCAGGGGGCCCCTGAGCGGCGCGGGGAGGGGGCTGTGCCAGGGAACGAGAACGGCTCTTCCTCTCCTCTTCCCTCCTTCCCACAGCCTCAGCGAGTCGCTTCGCTCTCGGGCTCCCGGTCACTCAGACCTTTTTTTACCCCCGGTTTAGAGATCCCATCCCGAGTGACTAGTTGTACCTGTCTGGGCTGTGTAAGCTCCAGAGATACCGCCTGTGTCCAGCTCCCAGCGCTCTGATGTTATCATCAAGTCGGATTTTCCTCTGCACACCAGGCTGAGCCCACTATCTCTTTCTCTTTAACTTGTTGCCGCGGCAAGTCTCTAGAGAATAATATATGCTGCAACAATTTCTCTATTGTTTCCTTGCCTTCAACTATTGTGCCCCTTAGAGTTACTTGTAGAGTAGATCAGAAAGTTGTTCTTGCTAACAAAAAAAAAAAAAAAAAAAAAAGAAAAGAAAAATGTTGCAATCTAATATTTTGCCACTACTGATACTATTCTTGTTACTGTTTTCAGGTTCATGAATTGTGCGATAACTTCTGCCATCGGTACATTAGTTGTTTGAAAGGAAAAATGCCAATAGACCTCGTTATTGATGAAAGGGATGGCAGCTCCAAATCAGACCACGAAGAACTCTCAGGATCTTCCACAAATTTAGCCGACCATGTAAGTCCTTCTGATTTCCTTATGGCACTTTTAAAGACTTTAACCTGCTCAGAGGACCTCTCCCCATTCCATTGTTTTGCTGCTGTTGTCTGTTAGTAGTATTGTTATTACTGCTTTAACCTCTTGCAAGCTGGGATCCCATCTTTACACTTCCTTCCCTCTCTGTAAGGTTATAGAAGTGCAAAGGGTTCCTTCTGTTTCCATCTGCAGAGCAGCGAGTTTGCAATGGTTTGTAAAGTTTCCTGATCTGGCTTCGGGAGGTAGCAAACTGCGGTTTGGTGTGGAGGTCGATGCTTTCTCCTCTTTGCCAACTCTGTAAGCAGTGCAGCAATGTAAGGAAAAAGAGAAAAGAAAGTTAGGGAGAAAGTTTGCCGGTTGCTCCCCCCCTCCCCTCTTGTGGGGATGACAAGTGATGAGAATTATTGGCAATACTACATTGCATTAAAAAAGGGGGTTAGCACATTAGAGTTTCCAATGCTTGTGCTTTATAGCAACTTATTGTCAGAATATGGACTTATTGCCAAACGCCTGAAGCATCTTCATAATAAAAGACAGTAACCTTGATGAAGCAATTATTAACAATGTATTACAGAAAGCTGGAGAGAATGATGATTGAGTAACCATAGGTTAGCGGTTGATTTTAACACTTTAGGAGTTGGTGAATTAGTGTTATGTGTGTAGACTGAACACTGGTGTGAGTGGTATAGAAAGTGCCTTTGTTTTTCGGGGTTTCGGAGCGGCTCTTGTGATCCTTCAAGAGATGTAGATGCAGAGAGTCTTCGGGATGTGAAAGGAAAGGTTACAGCTGGTACCACAGAAAAGGGAAGGAATAGCTTTGGTTAAAAAGAGTGGGTGTGAACTCTATTTATAGGAATGCATCCCTGGGGGGAAAAGGGGTTTACACAGTTTTAGATTCAATTGAACTCATAATCTAAATGATACAGTCTAATATTTTAGTGGTTGAAATATTAATTTAACACCCAGTATGAAGTTAACCATGCTTTCTGCACAGATGCCTGCCTTCATTTCCCAGTGTGTTAGGAGTAGCTGTGAGCCCAAGGAGAGAATGAGCTTTCCAGGAGCTTTTGTTTCCTTTGGAAACATGTTGTTTGTGTGTGTATCTGATAATTACATTAGTCCTGGACTGAGGCTGAACTGGGAGATAATAATAAATTCTTCTATATGCCCTGCTCCTGGCACAGCATAGTTACAGAGTCCAGGAAATACTTTTGGACCCAGGCCTTAGCTTTCATTTTCTCATTTGTACTCAGTAAACATGGCAGGACAAGGTTTTTGTGATGTTTTACATTTTAAATTTACTATTATGAGGGGAAAAAAAAAAAAGTATGCAGAAGTTTCTTAAAGTTTCTCTGCTTATTAGCTATCTCACATGTAGATAATAAACTCCATGAGGCATGACACTTCCAGAAATATTTGTTTTATGGCATTTTACAACCCTACATTTTTATGCATAAGTATTCTGTGAGAGTACTAGAAAAGAAATTGAAATGAGTGGCAACCTGAAAGATAAGGGGTCATTGTGTATTATTCAGAGCAACAGAAAAAAAAAGTACATGTTTCTCCAGTGCAGTTTCTTTACAAGAGTGTGTTTCAAGTGTAAGTGTAGAAATGGAGCATGCTTATGTTTATATTGAAGAGATTAGATAAACTAGCCCGTTTAGGGTTCTGGCAGATGGTGAATGCTCAAGCCAATTTGCAGTGCTCCATTATAATATTTAAATTCGCACACAATGATAGGACAGAGGTGGAGGGGGTTAGTGTTTTGATGATTTGATAACTATTATCTTCCTTAAGAAGAATCTCCTCTTGCTTTTGTGGCCCAAAGCCCAAGCTCAAATAAATATGACAACCCATTTATCTTGTACCCGTTAGGGTTTACCACTTCATTGGGTATTATAATTTAAAGCCTTTTATTTCCTGGAGATTTGAGCTATAACGTTTTTACTTTAGCCCCCTGCTATTTGTTTTGAAAGGAAGGAATAATTTGTGCAACCAGAACACCAACTGGGAAATGAAGAGTTGTATCACATAGTTACATTTTATTCATGCGTTTTGGGAAATGTGTCTCCTTATTGGGTTTATATATATATATATATGTATATATATGTATATGTGTATATATATATGTATATATATATATAAGCTTATTTTCCCAAGAAAACTTTTAGGACTCCTCTATAGGTTAGTCAAACTACCATGTGTGTACACATTTATATTTGTACTGTACAAGGTTCCATCAGGAAGAAATCTGCTTTTATTCATAAGGAAGAAAAAGCTTTAAAAAATTGCTAATATAAACACACAAGACTATCAAAAAATGAGCTATCATTTGTGAACATCTACCTGAAAATGCAGTAGTTCAAGCATGCAAATTTATCCAATCTGACTCTCCAGGTTTATTTTTTCATTTGCTTTGATATGCATATTTAATATACAGCCTCAGGCTAGATCTCATTTGGTGAAAGTTGGTGCAGGGGTGATGATGAGCCACTTCAGAAGGACAGAGATAGCATGTTGTTTCCTCTGTTTTATGTATTGGCTCACTATTCTGATCCTGGGGTCTTCCCCTCAAGATTTTATTTGCACATGAAATACTAGGAGCATTTCAACTGATTGGCTATGAATAATGATAGCCAAAAAGAAGTGTAGGTTAATTTGTTGTGTGCCAAGGCTTCTCTTGTGGAGGTGACAGTTTGTGACAGGTGTTTGACACCCCAAAAATCTATACACCTCTATTCTTACTAAGTGGTATAAAGCTATACTCTGTGTGTTTAATGTGGATGTGAGGGGTGGGAGTGGTGACAGTGGGAATGCTGAACTAGGAACTAAGGCAGCTCTCAGTTTTATTCTTTTTCTAGAGCTGAGAACAGGCATAAGGGAAAGTAAGAGCAAGAATTGTAGGATTAGCCAATATTTGCCATAAGACTTTAAATGGAGTACTCAGGGCATACTTCCCTTTACAAAACCTACTGCTTTACTATGTATATAACTTAATTGGAAACCAAAACCAAATCAACAAAGGAATGAACTCTTCACAGCCATACCTGTGTTGGAAAAAGGAGACAGCTGTAAGTGGTTGCGCTATACGTGTTTGGTAATAAATTTGTTTATCGAATTTTATTTTAGTGTGCTATTAACTGTTATGTAATACAGTAAGTGTAAAGGGTCCAGGGACTTGGTAGATCAAATAGTGCAGCACTGGCCACAAGAAGCCGAAACTTTTGTTCTTACTCTGCTGTGTTTAGTAAATATAACAGCCCATAATTAGCGTTTGAATTTTTAACACCCTCATATTTTTTTATTGCTCTGAGGTATTAGCTGTAGATGGGAAGAAGGTAATTACAGCTATGGCCTGGCTGAACCAGATCAGTTAGGGAAAAAAAAAAAAAGAAAAGAGGAAAGAAACCTTTCCAGCTGTAGTTCAAGCTGAATTTCCCAGCACAGACAATTTATTATTGTTCAGTATAGATATTCTGAGCCCTATCCTGCATTCTCTGTTCAACCTAAGATATCTGTTGAGATTGCAAACATATCTTTTTTTTGTTTGCTTCCTTTTGAGCTATTCAAATCTGGAAAACATAATGCTTGTAAAATCTGGAGATTTAAAATTTTTTTCTAGCATATGTTAACATTTTGTAATCTAATTACATTTCTTTTGTACCTGGCTTCACCTGGTGCCATACAATTCTTCCTTTAGCTCAAACTTAATTTGAAGCCTAGTAATTCTCCCATAGAAGTTTATGGCTCTCCTTCTACTGCCTTTTCTGGGAACAGGGCCTCACTCTTTTTTATATTTGTTTATATGTTCTACATATTTGCAGTTCAGAGGTAACAATATACAGATCATAATTTATAAAATATAATTAAAAATGAATAGAAATATGCATACATCTCTTTTTTTTTTGTAAAAAAAGACTGTTGACAGATTAGAAATCTGATGCCTTAGCTGTAAAAGAAAAATATTAGTCTAAATATTAAACCTTTCAGCCTTCAAATGATGAGATCCTTTTATTTTGTACTTTTGGACATACAGACATTTTAAATTTCTTTAGTATTTCTTCTCAAAGAATGGTCTATGCAAATTCCTGACATCCTGCAGATGAGGTAAAAAAAAAGGGGGGTGGAGTGGGGGTAATATTTCTAGCACTATAACTAAACCTCTAGGTAAGATTTCACTGAATAATGAGGAAGTAAGTGGGGGCCTGATGCTGCAGTCACCAGGTATACCACACTTGGATGGACTTGGAAGTTTGGAGTACACCAGAAATGCAGGAACAGACGCCAAATGTGTCCTGTTTGTAGTGTGTCAGATGGCAAACTAAGTAGCAAACTGCAACAATAATAAGTCAAACTTTTTTCTTTAATTACCAAATTTCTTAGTATGTGTCTGAAGACATAGGATATTACTGTAGGCCCTATGCTTTTCTGAAGGGGCAAGGAGCATCATGAACTTTCCAAGACTGTAGAGAATGTTGTGTATTCCTCTTTTTGGTGGGCCAAGGTATTCTATAGTCAAAGTTCATCTACAGCTCAAATTTGAGTGTTTTAATTTTAAATTGAGTTCTCTCAAACTCAACTGATAATGTATTCCGCTATCTATTTGACACCGGTATTCCGCTTTGGTTTGAGTTTTTTTGTCAGTCTAGGTGAATTGGAGCCACACAGAATGACATAGAAGGACAATTGCAAAAACAACAAACCCTTGATTTTTCAAGTTTCAGTTCCTTGCTGGCAGGTGGATTACATGTCTGATTTCAGTCTTAATTGGAAAATACAAAGCACACAGCTTTTCAGAATGTGGCCACATTCTAGGAATGTCAAAAATTCCTCCTGACACTTTTCTCAAATGCAAAATTGAGGGATAAGAATTAAAACTTGTGCATATATGTGCATACATACATGAATACCTGACAGATCACAATGCCTTGGGTTTTGTTTAAACTGTGTAATTCTGATACAAAAAAAGTTATCACATTAAA